TTGCCTACCCCTGATCTAGACACTACACTCCTATTGATGCAGCCTAGGTCTGTGAGTTGCCATTGCTATCCTCTGAAGTTGAAAGAGTGATGTGCCCAAGGTGACCCACTGGGTTGCCATGGTCAAGCAGGGATTTGAACCTGGTCTCTCAGAGCCCTAATGAGTTATACTGCTCCTTTGCAAACATTTTCGACTTATTTTTAAAACGGGAATTGATTGTGTCTCTCCCAAGCCCAAGTCTGACACTTTTACCAATACACCAGGCAAAGTCTCAAGAAAAAGAAATCCTTGAATAGAACTGTCATACTATCTTTAAAAAGCACATATATATTATATGTTTCTAATGACTAACTGCATGGTAGGTTCCAGAGACAGAATTTGCTCATGTTTCCATCAGCCTAATACAGGGGTAGGCAACCTTTCCCCTTTAAGGGCCGAGGGACTTCAGCTCCCAGAAGCCTCAACCATGTTGGCCAATAGTCCCATGTTGGCCAATAGCTACTGGGATTCTGGGAGCTGAAGTCCCTCGGCCCTTAAAGGGGAAAGATTGCCTACCCCTGGCCTAATAGGACAAGCCACATTTGATTGCTTTCTGGAAGACTCATAATTATGAAAGCTTCTGTAATTGGGGTGGCAGTGGAGGAATACAAATAACATTAGAGTCCAACAGTATTGTAAACCTATGCACAAATAAAGATTATGAATGGCAGGATTTCACTTTTCCGATTCTACATCTTTGCATCTCTGGGCCAGGGGGAAGTGAGGAGATACTTGGTTAAATGCAGCAAATATTCTTCTTTGCATCTTGAGTTTTAGAATACAGGGAAGAGATTGCTAAAGTTTTTATGGTAGGTCTTCTTCTACTTCTTCTGTCTGTAACAGACAGAAATTCAAGCAGTGAATCTTTTTCTAACGTGGAAAAATGGTAATCAGAAAAGCTAAGCAGTGTCTGGGAGAAACTTTACAAATTCCTTCTTCCTGCAAATATTGAAGACTGTTAAAGGTTACTTGCCAAAAAACAGTGATGTCAGTATTGAGAGACTGATACTCACACCACAGCGTATATTTTGGCTTAAGCCTTTTGGCTGCCAAATTAAATCACTACCTTTCCCAGAAAGGGTTAACATGGCCTCTGAAAATGCAAATCAATTTAAAGTCACACATTCAAAAAGCACTGAAAATCCCACCTGGGGTGTTTGATGCATAAGGGTTCATTTACACCCAAGTGATGGAGGCTGCATGTGTCAAATAGTGTTTGGTGGCTTGCAGGTGAACTTGTGAGGTGATTGCCAAAAAATATATATATACGGTATAAAAAATTATAGATTAGATCATATGGGTTATTACATAAGTCTTTGTCTTGTGGCATCTTCTCTACCTAACCAAATGCTGCAATCATTAGGTGATGAATATACATATGTAAAACAACCCAGCACAAGTTATTAACATTGCTGACATTCCAGTACACTGATTGTGATGTCCTCATGAACACACAGACTTGGTTTGATTGAAAAATCTTGCTAACGCAACATCCCATCTGTAACATCCTCTGCACATAAAAGAAGATGCACAGATTCCTCTGCTTTTAGTGCCAAATGCCACTAATAGAAACTACAATAAAGTAGCCAACTCCTTCAGAGAGGTCTTTCTAGTTTAACCCAATTCATGCATAATTTCATTTATCAAATTCACTCCCCATATCCCCAGAAGTACCAATGAGTTTGGACAGGGTGCTGTTTTGAAAGGAAAGATGAAGAGAAAAATCACAGAATCATGTTTTGACCACTTGGAAAGCTTGATAAGGGGGCAAATACAGCTGCTAATGGTCTCAAACTTCCCAAACATCTGAGAGGCGGGGGGCATAAAGGGGAGATAGGACATGAGTAACCAAAATGAGAGATGCTTATAGTATTTCAGTTCATTCAACCTAGAAAACAAGCAAGTAAGGGGAAACAAATGGGAAAATATTTTTTTTACTAATACTAGAACCAGGGGACAAAATAACACAAACTTTTCCCATCTGCTCTAAATATGAGCAGAAGAGGCACATGCAAAACAGTTCTATAACATCTACGTTGGCCCCTATTCACAGTGATAACATGTAATGGCTATTAGTCATGATGGCTATATATTACACTGTGACATCTCTAAATTCCCATTGCTGGGTACAAGACGAGCAGAAAGGTGGTATTGCAACTCATGTCCCACTTTTCAGCTTTCCAGGCTTTCCAGAAGTAACTGCTTGGCTACTGTGGAAAATTAACAGTGGACTAGATAGGCCTTCAGTCTAATACAGCAAGGCTGCTTTTATGTTTTTATGCGCCTTTGCTTCCTCAGTTTTCCCCCACCAACCCACCCCAGTGTGTCTCCTTTTTCAATTTTCTCGAAGATGGAATAGCAAGATTTAGCAACACAGGACTCTCAAAGTGAAGAATTATGTCTGGAAGCTACATATTGTCAACCCCAGCCTACGAAAAAAAGAACACCTTAGTACTAATGACTAAGAAGCTTTAAAAGCACAACACAGTTGTATTATTCACCTCAGTAAAACTGGTGATTCATACACAGTTGGGCAAGAACGTATTACCACAGCACAGTTAATTATAATCCTGCTAACAATATGACCCCCGTATTTCACATTCATCCCATTTCCCATTCTGAACAATAAAAGCCACAAACCTCTCGCTCGACAGGCTACCTGTTGTAATGTTTCAGCTGTGAGGCTAACGCTTTGCATTTTCTATTGTGGCTCAGTTCTTTAAGTGATTAAATGAGCTCTGATTCACTGAAATCTGAATGTCATAAATGTAGAACAATGCCAACTTTGATTTGATTTACAAGGTATGTATTTTGGTTCCACTCCCCACTTAAGGAATGCTGCGGTATGAATTATGTGGGTTAATCTGTGGTATGCTGATGTGTGGAGGGCTGTGTCTTGGAACAGAGACCTGCATCTGATGTTCTTTTACTTAAGAATTATCAGCATTGGAGGTTTAACACCAACGCTTCTGATAAGTAAGGAATTGCCCCAAAACAGAAAGTGGAAGCACAGAGAAAGTCAGGTACACCTGAGTAACTCTCCCTTTGTGTCTTTCTAAACAACAACTCAGGCTATAATTCCCTGCTTGACCATGGAAAGGTGATTTGCCATTGCCTTCCACTAAGGATGAGAAATTGCAAGTTGTCCAAGTCACGCACTGGGTTTCCATGGCCAAATGTGAATTCAGACCTCTGTATCCTGGTCTATTGGACTCCTACCCAACATTCAAACCACTACGTTGTTCTGGTTCTTCCTTTTGTTGTTATGTGCCTTCACGTCATTTCTGACTTCCAGTGATCCTAAGGGGAACCTATCACAGGGTTTTCATAGCAAGATTTGTTCAGAGGGGCCTTTGCCTTCCTCTGAGGTTACGAGATTGTGACCTGCCCAAGATCACTCAGGGACTTTACAGACTGCCAGAAATAATGCAGCTTGAGGCCACTTTAACTGACCTGGCTCAGTGCCAAGGAATCATGGGAACTGTAGTTTATTGTGGCACCAGAGCTCTCTGATAGAGAAGGCTGAATGTCCCAGAAAAAAAATACAATTCCCATGATTCCCTAGCACTGATCCAGGACAATTAAAGTGGCCTCAAGCTGCATTATTTTTGGCAATCTGTAAAGACCCTCAGTGGGTTTCCTTGGCTGAGCAGGGATTTGAACCCTTGTCTCTAGAGTCATAGTCCAACACTCAAACCACTACACCACACTGACTCTCTCTAGTTCTTTCTTTTGTTGTTGTTGTGTGCCTTCAAGTCATTTGTGACTTACGGCAACACTAAGGCGAACCTATCATGGGGTTTGCTTGGCAAGATTTGTTCAGAGGAGGTTTTCTATTGCCATCTTCTGAGGCTGAGAGAGTGTGGCTTGTCCAAGGTTCTTTCTTACTCCTAGGAAAATGCAAGCCCAAGTGTCCTCCATGATGGCTCACTTGCACACACTCTATGCACGCACTTCCTAAAAGCCAGCTCTAGGACCTTTTGTAAACTAAGTCAGGACATAACTCCCAGGAACAATACAATGAAAGTTTTAAAAATTATTAAAATCAGCTCTCAGAATATCTATGCTCTTTCAATAAATTTAAACTTAGCACCAGACTGATGCAGTTTGCTATGATAAACCCATCACTTAACTAATGTAATGAATGTGTCTTCAAGTCAAATGTCAATTTGTTTAGCAACTCCATGAATTTCATAGGGTTTTCTTAGACTAGAGGTACTAAGAGGTGGTTTGCCATTGACCTCCTCTGTAGGACCTGGTATTCCCTGTCAGCCTCCTTTCCAAATGGTGATCCTGTTGAGCTTCTGAGATCAGACAGGATCTGGTACCTTAATGCTATTTAGGCATGCTAATATCTAGCTATAAGCATAAAAATTCTGACCAGTTAAAAAAGGCACAAGTAGTTTAACTTTCAACTGCCAATGAAAAAGGCCTTTTTCTGTTATTTTTAATTGAAAATGTATTGCTTCAGAACATACAATATTTTAGATCTCCCTACTTGAGACAAGGAAGTCAGAACTAGTGCATTCTGTAGCCATGGAACATACTCAGTCTACATTTGGCTGTTTGGGTATGTGTGGCATTTTTGCCCACTTTTGGGGTTTACTCTACTTCTGCAGTCCTTGAGGTGGTCTGCCCAAGACTGATGCCCCCTCCCATTTGGGCTTCAGTCCTCTCTGCACTCTTCAGCTGATTTCTTGTTGGTGTTTCTTGCAGGAACTATTTGACCTAATAAATTAAGAGCATTCTGAATTTTCTATATGCCAATGTTAAATGTGTAAACAGAAAATGTACTTATTGTTAATTGCATTCAACACTTGTATATTCTGCACCTGTTTTAACAACCAAAGCAGCACTACTGAAAGATCATTTCTCAATTATCTAAAACTCGAATAAGATCTGAAAGTTAGAAGCCCCACAGGGGTAAGTCTACTATGCCCTGCTGAATAATCCCTGTGACGTTTGCCCTTGCTGTATTGTCAAGTGCACCTTTTCTGCTTTTTCCTAGTTTTATGAGTGAGAATTTCTCTTATGTTCTCTGCTTGTTGCCCCTAGCTACTTTCATGGAAATGTTACCGCAGTGCTACAGCTTAGTGAATACACAACTAGCAGCTTCATTCCCAGTCCCATGCAGTAACTACAGAAATGTTTCATTGCCTCAGGTCCTTCACAAAAGCTACCTAAGAGAGACGTGCAAGCATTTGCTCAAAGTGAATGGTATTGCAACAGGTAGCAAACTGCACACCTGCACCTGTTTTCAAAGGCCTTGACCTCTGCTGATGCCTTGATCTCTACCTATGTAGCAAATAGACATGGGCCACATGTAAAAGGTTTGTCCATGGACTTTCTCCACATCCATCTGTGATCAGTAGGCATTTCATTCAAAAGAAAATGCATAAAATATGCAAAAGTAATTCTTTAGACACTGTTATGTATACTGGATTTCAATGGTAGATGCTACTAAGTAAAGTTTTAATGTAAGAATATACAAGTATTTGTGATGAGAGATAGTGGTAAGAGACCAAAACTGTTCAACCTTTTCTTTGCAGAGCCCAGTGTGGGAAAGAAGAACACAGATCATTCACTTAAGCACAGCCCAGAAAAATGAGGTGAGAAACTTTTTATGACTCAGTGGGGCCCAACTTTTGGTCTTCCAGATGTTTTGAACTTCAGCTCTCATAATAATAATAATAATAATAATAATAATAATAATAATAATAATAATAGCAGCAGCAGCAGCAGCAGCAGCAATCGGGGAGGCTTACAATGTTAAAAAAATACCATACCACAATACAACAAAAACAAGCCATAAACCAAAACCCACCCGCCCCTAATTCCTGATTGTTGGCTAAGTTGGCTGAGGCTTCTGGAACCTGAAGTCCAAAACAAATGGAATGACCAAAGATTGGGAACCACTGCTCTAGAGTCCACATCACCAAACATGTAGGCATCCCTTTTTTAAAAAAAATTACCCCACAGAGGACAGGAAGACAGACACTGCTTAAAAAAGCAGCATCTTGAAATGTAGCAGAATTATTATCTTTGGCCCAGCCACCATTTGTTTCCACACTCTGGTGTAAGGGAGAGAGAAAGCCAAAAAAATGAGGTCCATTTGTACATGGATGTGTACAGATTCCTGGAATGTTGTGGATATCTTAGTTTTCTCTTGCCTCTCCTTCCCCAATATACAGCAAACTTCAACAGGAAATAAAGGGGGGGGGGGAGACTGTCGTATAGTTATCTATTCAGTCCTGTTAGAGAAAAACAAGACAAAAAATCCTCTAAAAGAGACTAAATACAGTCGCCCCTCCAGTTTCACGCACTTGGAGTCTGCATCCCTCACCCGTTTGTGGGTGGCAAACAGAGGGGGACAAAATGGGGCACGCACCCACAGGTGCGCACTGCCATTCAAGCCAATGGTCTTGAATATTGCCGATTTTCCATTTTCGCGGGTTGGTAGTGGGGGTGGTGTCCAGAACGGATCCCCGGCAAAAATGGAGAGGTGACTGTAGTACCTCTACAACATGTATAAAAGTTTTTTTTAAAAAAAGTTTTCCTTTTAGACCCTAAAAAAAGACACACACTCACATATATACACAGAGCGAGACTTCTGAGGGTGCCTCACTACAGCTCCCACCCACAAAGGAAGGGATGTGGAGGTTCACATCCATCTCCTTTTCTTGCTCTCAATCCTCAAGGATCAGAGCACACTGTCATCCTCACCCATCCACCCAGTCTGTCAGGGCATTTAATAATAATAATAATAATAATAATAATAATAATAATAATAATAATAATAATAATACCCTGCCCCTCTGAACTCAATCGGGGCGGCTAACAAGTGATAAAAATACAGAATGCATTCAAGCCGCTATACCCTCCCCCCTTTAAAAAAGTATTAAACCAACAAGATTAAAACCATACAAATTAAACAAAAACAAAAAAAGATCAAACAATAAATCAAAGGGAGAGATGGCTGTCACATTGACTAGGGAGGCAATAGGAAAGTTCCTAGAAGGCTCCCCTACAGAGG